TATTTTTTTGTTTGGCCCCAAATTTCATTGTGAATGTTTTAACAAATGAAAAAACATGCATTGTTTTAAATAAAGACCCTTTTTTTTGTTAAAATTGGGCAGCCAATATCTCCAAAATAAAAGTAACATATTTTTTTATCCCAAAATAGGATAATACGCTGATAATGTGACATTGTATATTGGTATTTTACAGTTTTTTTAATATTATATGTTGCCATTATTGATGTCATATTTTGATTAATCCTAATCCCTCCCGTTCTCAAAAAATTCCTCTTTAATTTTTTTCCACTTCCAATAAAAGACTTCCATTTTCTATTAAAAAACTACTTTTACCATTACTTTTTCATATCTTATTTATCACATCATACTTTTTTTTAAATAATCTATCCATCATATTTTATTTTTACCCATCACATCAAGGCAAAATTGAAAATCAACTACTACCTCCGTTTGCAAAAAGACTTCCTATTTTGACTTGGAGCCAAAATAAAGAAATGTTAAATTATAGTTGACTTTCAATTTTGCACTTGATGTGATGGGTAAAAGTAAGATGTAATGGATAGAGAAAAAGTATGATGTGATAGGTAGGGTATGAAAAAAATATGGGTAAAAGTGGTTTTTTAATAGAAAGTGGAAGTGTTTTGTTGGAGGTGAAAAAAATGAAAGAGGAAGTATTTTTGAGAACGGAAAGAGTACAACCAATATAACAATTAACATACCTCCATATACATCTCCTCAGAGTCTACCATTGATTCCAAGCTTCAGTGTAAGTCATAGAAGTGTAACTTTTTTTAAGGATTTCGCAGGGAAATGGAGTAGTAAGAGGTTAAGAGTGTATGAATTTATATAGGAAATACTTAAAGAAAATTCTAGACCTTGAACTTATTAAAACATTGAATGTTTTTACGGTTGTAATAATAAGAATGGTATTCCAAAGGTTTTTTGACTCATCGGTAATATTAAAAAATGTGTAGTTATATGAAAGTTTTTTTTAATATACATACGGTTGAAATAAATACAAAGGTACTCCAAAGGTTTTTTACTACTTCATAGTTTAAAATGTTTTAACAAAATAAGAGGGTTTATTTAATTATTTAAAAAATAATATTCATTTGTAAGAAATATGAAAAACATAAGGAAAATTAATATTAATCTGCAGTTATATATTAAGCTGTAGATATATAAAAAGTTTTTATATCATTTATTCATTTCAACTCCAAGAAATAAATATAAATTAATAATAATGTTTTTTTATCCTGACTCCAAGAAATTGATATAATTTAATGTATTGTAAATTCTAGACCTTGAACTTATTTGAATGCTTTACGGTTGTAATAATAAGAATGGTACTCCAAAGGTTTTTTAATTCAATCAAAGGGTTTATTTTAATTATTTTAAAATTTGTAGATATATGGAAAACCTAATGAAAATTAAAATTAATTTGCAGTTATATATTAAGCTGTAGATATATCAAAAGTTTTTTATATCATTCATTTATTTACGCTCCAAGAAATAAATATAAATTAATAACCATGATTTTTTTTAGCTTGCAAAAAAACATTTTAAAAAGTACACTCCTTATATATTATTTTTTATTTTGACTCCAAGAAATTGATATAAATTAATAAGTACGAATTTATTTTAGCTTGCAAAGAAAGATTTTAAAAAGCACTCATTATATATCATCATTTCTTTAGTTTGAATTTACAATAACATAGGTTTTTTTAGTTCACAAAAAAATTAAAACGAAGCTTGTAATCAAAGAATAAATTAATTTGAGAAATACATAAAGGTATAAATATTTTTATTTTTTTTCCCAATTATTTTGTTAATAGATTATGGGTAAGGACATATCTTTTAACTCCACATACAATTATGGGATTAAATCATTAAATTGGATGCAATGTTTTTTGTTTGAACTACGTATGTTCTAAGTCTTAATTTTTTTTTAATATTACAAATACTAATTTTATAAAATTTGTGTTAATTTGGTACATGAAGAAATCATTTCTCGTCCTTTTAATAATGATTTTGTAAAATAGTAGTTGATTAGTTGGTATTTTGTAAAAAACTACAACTCTTTCCGGTGTTTTTGAGTCGAATGTATATTATCTTAGATTAGACTACTTTTGAATCATTAAGTACATAACTTGTTGTATTGATTTATTTAATGATGCATATTTTATTAAATTCAAATTTAAAATAAATATTACTCCCTCCGTTCCACAAAACTCTTCCGGTTTTGACATTGGAGAAAAATAAGGAAAATGTAATTTTGGTTGACTTTCCAATTTTGCCCCTGATGTAATAAGAAAAAGTAAGATGAGATAGTTTGGTTATTAGTGAAAAGGTATGATGTGATAGGTAGGGTATGAAAAAGTAAGGGTAAAAGTGATTTTTTAATAGAAAGTGGAAGTGTTTTTTGGAAAGCAAAAAAAATGAAAGATGAAGGGTTTTGCAGAATGAAGGGAGTACTAAAATAGAAGTGACTAAATGAATTGAATACGAAGAGATGACATACTCCCTAAATGCAACATAATATAAGTAATTAGGTTGTGCTAAATAGGGGTAATAGCATGAGTGTCCCTCGTGCTTTACAAAAGGAGCACCAAAACATCCTCTACTTTAAAAAATTATTTGTAAAACCCATGTGGTCTTTAAATAGTGCACAGACGCCCCTCTTGCCTATTTTTAGACATAAATTACATTTTTGCCCTTTATTTTTTTCTACATTCAAGTTTCACTCTTTTATTTGCATTTTTTGTTATACAACTAAATAAATAAAATATACGCCCCATTTCTCAAATTAAAATTTTTCATTTATTTAATTTTCAAAAAAATAATTTTTTTTAGAAAATGTTACAAAAGAAAATGAAAAATAAAAAATGAAATAAAATACACCTTTTCATTATAAGTAAAAGTAAAATAAGTAAAATAAAAAATTAGATAACATACACTCACTCTGTCTCTAATTAAAAATTCTAACTTATTTGTTATTTAAAAGTAAAATTACTTTCAAAGGACTTTAAAAAATGAAAAACAAGAGGATAAAATAAAATACGGAGTTAAAGAAAAAGTTTGTTTTCATATTTTTCTTTCTTTCGATTACCTTTTTCAACTATTATTTTTACTTTATACATTATATTTTATTTTTAATTTTCTTTTGTAACATTCTCCAAAAAAATCTTTTTTCCCAAAAATACATTATGGAAAATTTTAATTTGAGATAAGAAGCGTATATTTTATTTTATATATTTGTATAGAAGAGGAAAATAAAATAGGGAAAAGTCAAGATCGAGGAAAAGAAAGGGCATAAATGTCATTTTTGCTTTAAAAATAGGTAAGAGGGGCATGCGTGCTCTATTTAGAAATCATAAGGACTTTACAAATAAATTTTGAAAACAGAAGGGGTCTTGACGCCCTTTTTGTGAACCACGGGGGGCAAACAACAACAACAACAACAACAACCCAGTTGAATCACACAGACCTTGCCCCTACTCGGAAGTAGGGAAGCTGTTTCCAAGAGACCCCCGGCTCAACCTACACAAAAAATATGGTAGGGAACACAATATAACAGGGTAACAGGATATAACAAGATATAACAAGATAAAGCACCAAGTACAATAAAATGAAAGTCCAGCAAGCAAAAGTAGAAGATTCCAATCAAACACAACACACTACAAAAAACCTCTGCAGCACCGAGCTCCTAACCAGCTACTTTAATCCTAGTCCGCCAAAGGTTTCTATCTAAAGCCATATGCTCAGTCATGGTGAGAAGTCCTAAATCCTGCCTAATCACCTCCTTCCAATTCTTCCTAGGTCTACCTCTTCCCCTACTTCCCCCGATAACCATGATCCTCTCCCACCTCCGTACAGGGGCATCAGCATCCCGCCGTCTCACATGCCCAAACCATCTCAACCTCGCTTCCCGCAATTTATCTTCCACCGGCGCCATGCCTACCTGACGTCGAATAACTTCGTTTGAAATCCTATCCAACCTTGTCTTCCCACACATCCATCGTAACATCCGTATCTCCGCTGCATGCAGACGACACACATGAGTCTTCTTAACCGCCCAACACTCTACCACGGGGGGCAATGGTGATATTTTCCAGTGCTAAATATATTAATTCAAAAACATAATTAAGGAGATAATATGGGTTTGAAAACACATGTAGATTGTTATAAGAATTAAAACAAAAACCATTCGCCAAAATTAATGCGTACATCAATATCCAAAAAACCATACTCAGGGTATGATCAAAATTTCTTCCACAGACGAATAAAAAAGCAAAATATAATATCAGAATTGAGAATATTAATTCATGGCTCTTCTAATTTCACAGGTTTGAACGTTTTTGATGGATATCAGGTCTGATGGACCCGACTCCAGGCCCAATGAAGGCCCATAACAGCGCGAGACGTATAAGGCCAGGTGGGGGTAACGGGCCGAGCCCGATACCACGCGTGTGGCAATGGAAAAAGACGGCCCAGTCATGGATTAAATCAAGGTGACCCGGTCCAAGAAAGGAATGGGACACGTGGCCCACATCATTAAATTATGGACGAGATGGGAAGAGAACGAGACCGAAAAAGAGGGGATCACAACCCCATGATCTCCAGAATTTCTCCCATTTTGTATAATTTTAATTGCAATATTAGAAGTACTATAAAAGTAGAGGGGGACAACTCAAGCAATTCCATACTTAATCAAAGAATATCATCGAGTAATTATATCTTTCTTATCCATATTACGTTCTTAGTCCGCCATCTGATCGGGTTAATCCCATCATTGGTGCTCTTGTTGAGAGAAAAACTGTGAGATTATGGCCGGGCGAAGGACGAGACGTAACACCGCTGCTTCCGCCCAGTTGACGGTGAGGAGTGACAACCCGGAACAGGGTATGATCGTTCCTGTCAATGGGTTGGAAACAATGTTGAATAATGTGGCTAACATGATGGCCAACATTATGGAACGGTTGGATAAGGCTCTCCCTGGTCCATCCGGTACCCAGGACATCCCTGCCGGGCAACCCCGCCAGGTCCTGCACTGCAAGTTCTCCCATCCTCCAGGAGCTTCATGATCCAGAGGAAGTCGAGAGGGAGAGACATGCCGTTGCTAGACGCCGGGCGGAAGAATTGGCCCAGAATAGTAACGTGAATGGAGATTGGGCCAAGGCTGCAAGCCAGGTCGTCGGCAATGGAAACGAAAACTCGCGGGGAACTGTCTTTGAAAGGATATCTCACCAGAAAGCTCACGTTAGTGAGAGGCTGGGGAAGAATCCGGAAAAAGCACCCCAGGGTTGGATACGACCCCAGGCCAGCCAGGTCGCGTCTTCTAACCGCGAACCCCGGTAGCGAAACGGCCGTGGTGGGAGCCAAGCACCGGTCCAGCCATTGGTGGTTCTAGATGAGGATGAAGTTCAAAGCCAAGTCAGGGTCCCAGCGCCACAGCGTCTGGGGCCGCCGGTACCGGAAGCTGGCGAATTCCAGGATCTGAGGCAGCAGATCCAGAAGATGCAGAGGAAGATAAACAGGGGACCAGTATTCACTACCCGGACGAATACTCCCTTAGCCCCGGAGGTCTTTGCGGAACCATACCCACAGGGATTCAAGATGCCGTTCGTTAAACGTTATGATGGGGAGTCGGATCCCCAGGAACATATAAATATCTATGTCCAGGTGATGATTGCCGTTGAGGCCAGCGACGCATTGATGTGCCGGTGTTTCTTGCAAACAGTAGATAGCAAGGTGGTGGATTGGGTGAACCACATTCCTACCGGATCGATCCGGACATGGGATGAATTGGGATTGCGGTTCTTGGAGCATTTTGCCGGGAACTGCCGTCCCAAGAAGCATTTCACTCATCTGGCTTCAGTACGGCAGAAGCACGGAGAATCCTTGAAGAATTTCCTTATCCAATGGAGAAAAGAGTCCGGGGAGGTTGAAGGAACCGATGACAAATCCAGGTTAGCCATGTTCACGGCGGCATTGCAGGACGGTCTCCTTCATACTGATCTCACGACTCATCCCCCGGATACCTTTGAAGAAGGAATGGTCCGGGCCAGAAGGTATGTGACCCTGGAGGAGAGAAAGGAGGAGAGGAAAGGGAAGAATCCTAAAGAAGAAGAGAAGGCGGGGAATAAGAAGCCGTTCAAGAACAAGAAGCAGGGTTTCCCGGAGGGCCCAAAGGGCACAAACCCTGGGACCCCGGAGAAGCACAAATCTGCCAATCCAGTCTTCACGTTGCCGGTGGCTGAGGTCATGGCCCACGCCACACAGCAGGGACTCATGACTTATCCGACCTATTCTCAGAAGGTTTGCAATGTGGAGGACACTGGAAAATGGTGTGCTTACCATCGCAAGAACGATCACAATACAGAGGATTGCTATACCTTGAAGAATGAGATGGCGAGGCTAATCCGCCGGGGCCATCTGAAGAAGTTTGTACAAGATGGCGAGGCGGGAAATCCCGGGAACGCTCAGAATGGGAAGCGTCGAGATAAGGAGGTAGCCCAGGCTGAGACACGGGAAAAACGCCACATCGGGCTGGAAGATGAAGAGGAGGATTCAAAACCCGCACCGCACCCCCAGAAGAGACACCACGGGTGTAACTTCATCATCGGAGGGAATACTGGCGGAGATTCAGCCACGAGCCGAAAGAAGTGGGCCAACGCGGCGATGGTCAACAAGGTGCTGATCCCAAAAGGTAAGAAGTTGAAAACTGAGCCAATTGTATTTTCTAATGCTGATCTGCCAGAAACAGGGGTCCCCCATAGGGACGCCCTGGTGATTACTATTGATATAATGGACTTACTGATCCATAAAACCCTTGTGGATACGGGAAGCTCCGTTAATATCATGTATATGGATACGTACAAGGCTCTTGGTTTGACAAGGGATGAATTATCACCCATCAAAACTCCACTGACCGGGTTCACTGGTGACTCTATTGAACCGAAGGGGGTAATAACCCTCCCGGTCAAAGTAGGGGATACTAAGGCCACTCGGAAGTTGGACATGGAATTCGTTGTGGTGGGGATAATCTCCAACACAAACATCATCCTGGGCAAACCCGGATTGGAAGATTTAGAGTGTGTCATTTCACCTCGTCACCTATGCATAAAGTTCCCAACCCCCCACGGAGTTGGAATCGCCAGAGGATCTCAGAGAGTGTCCCGGGCGTGGTATTTGAAGGCAACCAAGCAGCCTGTCAAGTATGATACCCAAGTGGGAGAGGTGACTGCACAGCTCCTGAGGGCTGAGGAAAGACGTCCCAGGGTAGAAGTTGCCGACGACATTGAGGAAGTTGAGCTGGAGCGAGGCACACCGGGGAGGTTAGTTAGAATTGGCAAGGGCCTAGGGGCTGAACTCAGATCACGAGTGATCTCATTCCTTAGAAGGTTCAGGGAGGTCTTTGCATGGAGTCCAGTTGATATGCCAGGACTGGATCACAAGATTGCAGTTCATCGCCTTAATGTCCTGCGAGATGCTAAACCGGTGAAGCAGAAACGGAGACATTTGTCGCAGGAATGGAGAGATTTCGTGAATAGGAGGTAGCAACCTTACAGAGCATTGGTCACATCCGGGAGGTGCAATACCCGGATTGGTTGGCAAACGTAGTTCTAGCGCCTAAGCCTCCTTCGTGGAGAATGTGCGTCGACTACACTGATTTGAACAAGGCATGCCCCATGGATCCGTTCCCTCTCCCCAACATTGACCAGATGGTGGATGAAATTGCCGGATCAGAGTTAATGAGCTTCATGGATGCATTCAATGGCTACCATCAGATTCGGATGCACCCGGCTGATGCTGAAAAGACGAGTTTCATGACCCCGGAAGGGCTATACTGTTACTTGGTGATGGCCTTTGGACTGAGAAATTCCGGGGCGACATATACCCGAGTGGTTTCTCAAGTGTTCAAGGCCGTCCTAGGGCGAACCATGGAAGCATATGTCGATGACATGATTGTCAAGTCCAAAGAGGCCCGAGATCATGTCCGGGACCTTGAGGAGGTCTTTGAAATCATGATGAAGGTAAATTTGAGATTGAACCCGAAGAAATGTACTTTTGCTGTTCAGGGTGGAAAATTCCTTGGGCACATGGTTAGCCGGAAAGGGATTGAGGCAAACCCGGAAAAAGTTAGGGCCATCATGGAGATGGAATCCCCGAAGACAGCAAAAGAAGTTCAGCGGCTGACCGGAAGATTGGCGGCTTTGAATCGTTTCCTTTCAAAGCTGGCAGAGAAGGCGCATCCATTCTTTACGGTAATCAAGAAGAGGGCGACCTTCGAGTGGACGTAGGAATGTCAAGAAGCATTTGAAGAACTAAAGAGATATCTGGCAAGTCCGCCGATTTTATCTAAACCGGAACCTGGAGACATCCTGACCCTATACTTGGCAATTGCGGACTGTGCCATAAGTATTGTGATTGTGAGGAAAGAGAATGGGGCCCAACATCCGGTTCACTACGTCAGTAAGACTTTAAGAGATGCAGAGTTAAGGTATTCCCGTCCAGAGAAGGCCATGTTAGCGGTCTTCTAGACGGCGAAGAGATTAACCCCGTATTTTCAGGCTCACCGGATTATTGTGCTCACCAACGAGCCTTTGGCATCACTTACCCGGAGCCTGGCGGCATCCGCCCGGATGACCAAATGGGCGGTCTTCATCAGTCAGTATAATGTGGTGTTCAGGCCGCGCCCATCGATCAAAGGGCAAGCACTCGCAGACTTCCAAGTCGAGTGTACTGCCAGGGAGATGACAAGAGCACAAGTTGATACCCGGGTGGAGGATGACTTGTAACGCCCCAAAACATAGTCTAAAAGTTATTCTATTATAAAAGTATTTTTAGAAACAATATTTTGACTCAACAAAGCATTATTTCTATGTTTGACCAAAAATGAAGGAATTTTTAGAGTCAATAATTTTTGTTAAGATTGACTTTTATGGATATGTCTTGAAGAGACGAAACCAACGGTATATTTTATGAATACATCTGATGTACAGAAGTTCAGTTATGACATTTTAAATATGTAATTTGTATAAAAATGAGAAAAAGTCAAAGATGTGAACTTTTGTAAAATGATGTATTGAAATAAGTATTTATATTTAATAATATTGATTGAATATGAGACTAATTTTAATTACATATCAATTAATTCAATTTTGACTCTGTCAAAGTCAACACCCAAAAATATGCTGTCAGAAAAAGTATTTCAAATAAATATAAAAATTATATCATTA